GAGTATACAAGAGGTGCCCATTGTTTCTTAAAGCTGAATAGTACTCCATGGTATACATATACCACATTTTATTAATCCACTCATGTATTGATGGACACCTGGGTTGTTTCCACATCTTTGCAATTGTGAATTGTGCTGCCATAAACATTCGGGTGCAGGTGCAAAGACTGGGTATTCTTGCCAGAAGAGAAAAGGGTTACCCTGGCAAGTGTACTCACTGCCCCCCACCCCACGCCACCAACCTCATGGAAGCAGAACACTGCCACCACCTCGCCTGCACCCACACAAAGCCCAGTCCCTCCTCCGCCTCCCGCTTCCCTTCAGTGCGAACACTGGCGGGCAATGGCTCCTGCCAGGCCCGCCCCTGTCCCACACTTCCCGAGGAACAGGCCAATGGTGTATCCGATTTACCCTCGACCTGTGGAATAGACACTGGAACAAAATTATGGCTCTGCACGTCTGGGAAAAGGGATAAATGAGTGTGGGTATTATACATAGATTGAAGGGTATGGACAGTGATTCAGAGAGGCCACTCGAGGCAGAAATGGACTACCCGAAGGGGTAATCAGGCGCTTGGGTCCTGTGATTTTTCAACTTCTTTTATTCTGTACCTTACAGTTTGCTGCCCCCTGGTGCAGGGATATTTCTTTCTATCATGTCCAATAACCAGCCTCAAGTCCTCTCGGGACACCAAAAAAAGCAATTTGGTGATAAAGATTTCAAAAGTGCAATTTTAATTTGTTTACCTCATTCTTGAATTTGCTTCTTTGTTATATGGGTTTGCTTTTCTAGTTTTCTAACTTTTATCTTTTCTATGATTTAACTTACTGCTTATATGCGTGTGCCACCTAGTGATGGTACCTCGCCCTGCCTACTCTTTAGGGAAATGAAGTGCTTTGTATCCACTGTACAGGAAAGGGCAGCAGGTGGGGTGGACCACACACCAAGAAGATTTTAGTACGGGTACTGTGATGGGGCCAGCTGCAGCCATTATGTGGTTGAGTATAAAGACACAGGCCTCATAAATGCATGGCAGGTATTATTACATTTTTCCATTCCTAGACTCTCCTGTTCCTCCTCAAGCCTTTCAACATTCTTCTATGAAGAAAAACAACAAAACAACTTTAAAAGAGCTTTGTTTTCCCCTTGACAGGATGACAAACCTTAAAAATAGGAGAGAGAGAGCAGGTGGAGCCGGGAGGACTCCTTGGCCCCTTCTGCTGGTCCCCTTATTACTGTCTTCCCTGTTACTGCCCGTCCCCCGTTGGCCCAGCCCTTCCTCCTCCCGGCATCACCTCCTTTGCTCTGTGTTTAATTCTTTCCAGTGTGTTCTCTGCAGCCCCATTCTTTTCTGAGACTTTACTACATCCTCCATTTTATCATAAACTACGCCTACCAGTTTAACTAAAAACCTAATTTTCTTTTGAGGGAAACATACAATGTAATTACCTAAATATATCCAACAATACATGATAGTCCACAGCCCTCTTGAGCAGAGGCTGCTGTTTCCCTGTCCCTCCTGTCTATGGACTAAGAGGTGGAGTTGTGCTCTCAGCTACCCATTGTCTCGTCATCTTTTTCAAAAAGACTTTCTTCTTTTCAGTTTCGTATTGTCATTCTGTAACATCTTATTTCCCTTCTTAAAAATAACAGTTTTAAAAAAAGAAAGATACACACATGGTACAAATACAAATATTTAGAAAGTTATAAAATGAAAAGCAAAAATCTATGCCTCTTTCCCCCACACTGTCCTCCTGCCCCTTCCCTTACTTCCTACTCCAGAAGGTAACTGCTGTTCCTTTTTCTTTTCTTTTTTTTTTTCCAAGTTGTCAATGCAAAGGAAGGTAACTGCTGTTAATAGTTGGGTATCCGTGATGGTTAACTTTATGTGTCAATGTGGCTAGGGTATGGGACCCAGTTGTTTGGTCTAACACCAGTCTAGATGATCTGTGTAGTTATTTTTTTAAATGTCGACTTTGAGTCTACATTTACAGTTAGTAGATTTTGAGTAAAATAGATTACCTTCTGTAATGTGTGAGGGCCTCATCCAATCAACAGAAGGCCTTAAGAGCAAAGACTGAGGTTTCCCAAAGAAGAAGAATTTCTTGAGATTGCAACATAGAAAGCTTACCTTAGGTTCCAACTTGCTGCCCTATGGAATTCAGACTCAAGATTGCAACCTCAATTTACCTGAATTTCCAGCCTACCAGCCTGCCCTACGAATTTCAGACTCGCCAGCCCCCACAATCATATGAGCCATTTCCCCCTTTGATTCTTTTTCTCTGGAGAACTCTGACTAATCGGGTATCTGTGATGGAGATGGACTACCGTCTCTCAAAACCCATTCTTCACTCTCATAGTTGGTTTCCCTTGCAGTTCAGTGTGGCCATTCAACTCAGTTCTCTCCACTGGTGTGGGAAGAGCAGTGATGTGAACCACCTCATGCCTGACGCATTAAGACTTGTTGTTTTTTATCTGTGGATGACTGGCAGGGTGATGCTCAGAGCATCCTGGGGAACCATGTGTTGAAGACACATTCTGGTCCTTCAGTCACTATATGGAGCAGAGTCCCCTCTTCCCTGCCCCTGCCCCAAAGCTCTTGAACATTTTATCTAGATGCTCCAGGACTATTAGGTAAATTGTAAAGACATTTCTACTGTGCTAAAATTATTATGTTTTGAATCTGCTTAATAAACTAGCTTAACATACCCTGACTAATAAAGACATCAAACACTTAAAATATAGACATTTTTGCATCTGATGTTGCTTAAAAAAAATAAAATAAAATATAGGCATTGGCTTAGTAGGTGCACAGCAGGAGGTGAGGAACTGATATCATTGGCTCAAAAGATGGTGCCTCTTCTCATGCCATGGCAAAATATTTGGTAAAACTGTTGCTGTGGTAACTTGAAAGGCAGACACAATTTTTATTATGTTGGTACTTCTAAGAAAGGTAGTTGGAATGAATTAGAATGTAAGTGTGAGTTGGTTGCTGTTTGCTGTTTTTAGCTAGGTATTAAAAAAAAAGGGCCGGGCGCGGTGGCTCACGCCTGTAATCCTAGCACTCTGGGAGGCCGAGGCGGGTGGATCGTTCTGAGCTCAGGAGTTCGAGACCAGCCTGAGCAAGAGCGAGACCCCGTCTCTACTAAAAATAGAAAGAAATTAATTGGACAGCTAAAAATATATACAGAAAAAATTAGCTGGGCATGGTGGCGCGTGCCTGTAGTCCCAGCTACTCGGGAAGCTGAGACAGTAGGATCGCTTGAGCCCAGGAGTCTGAGGTTGCTGTGAGCTAGGCTGAGGCCACAGCACTAGCCCCAGGCAAGAGAGTGAGACTCTGTCTCAAAAAAAAAAAAAAAAAAAAAGATGTGAGCTCAGATCAGAATCACCTGGTTTGCAAGCAAAGGAAGGGAGTAAAGAGTCTACAAATTTGGGACCATATAGGTTTGGAAAAGCGAGCTGCTTCAGTACTATAATCGCAACAGATAAGACTTGTGGCTCAGAGGCCTCTCATTAAGACATCTCAGTCAAAGATCTCATCACAATCTTGCCCAATTATTTCAGATGGTTTCAAGGCCAACTGCCAACTGCCACTAAATTAAGAAAAAAGGCTTTGGGGCAGGGAAGCAAAGACGTAAAATAAGCTTAAGGACTCTGTTTAGAAAAGAACTCTGAGTTTGGCTACTGGCACATGGAACTGAATAGAATAGACACAAATAGATTAAATGCCTTGTAAGTTTTTGAAGTCAGAGTATTGCTGTTTATTTTGGGCATCTGGGTGCAGATGGGTGGAGGCCAACGAGCATCCACAATGAGGGAGGGGAAAGCCTTGGCTTTTATAGAGGGTTTCTTAGTGGGGAGTGAGTACCTGGGCCAGAACAGCCGCTGCAATAAAAAATTTTTTTTCAAACCTCTAGTTTCTGGAACGCCTGCCTCTGTCTCATCCTGCAGAGACAAGGCAGGGGAGTGGTTGCATCCTTATCAGGGGGGATAAGAATGCTGGCTGCAGCTATCTGTTGGGTTTACAACCTCCTGGGACTTTCCAGATCCCTGTGGCTATTGATTCACAAACCTTGGTTTTCCATTAACCGCATTCTGTCCCATACATAGAGTTCCCACCTGGAACAAACCTAACATTAATATTTTGCTGCTGTGCTGGTAGGTAAAGGAAAAAACATTGAGAAAGACTGCAGCCCCTAGAAGAGCCCCTAGACAAGCCCGGAGGAAATGTCCAAATTACCAATTAATTTCTGTTCATCAAAGTCTCTACTGGGCATGCATGGGAGTTTACTAAGAGCAGTGAACAAGACTGCCTTTGTGTAAGATCCCTTAGCTGAGACCTGTGAGTGCCTCCAAGTGGCAGATTCGTCTCACAGAAGGCTTCCGCCGCCCCCCGCGCCCCCCGTGGTGGCTTTTGCTCTTTGTGTCTGTACGTTAGGCCTCGGTTTGTATCACTATTCGTCAATTAATAGCATTTATATTGCACTTTTAGAATTAAAAAGGAGTTTCTCATCAAAATGTCGTCTATCTCCTTCCCAGCCCTCCCCCCGTGGCCCCGCCCCTTGGTTTTTACAGTAACCCTTTGAAAAGTATTATTATACAGATAAACGGTGGCTTAACAGCGAAGTAACTACCGAAGTAAAATTCTTGGCACTCCCATCCTCCACCTTCCTGAGGCGGTAAGATTAAGAATGGGATCCCAGGAATGATAACATGCAATGATGGACAGGAAAACGCTTGTAAAAAGTATCTTGCAAACATCCACCAGGAAGAAGGAAGTCCTTTCCCCCTCCCTCCGTCCCTCGGAGATTGTGTGGGGTGTGGGAGGGGAGCGGGGACGCTGGCATGTGGCTCCACCCCGGCTAGGCGAGGGCCTGACTTGGACCGCGGGGGAACCGAGTGACTGCCCCCAGAATCTCCAAGACCTGGTTCCGGGAAGCCCCAGCGTTGCTTAACCCCAGTCGCACTGCGCCCCGCCCCCAACCCGCCGCCGGTCCCGCCCCTTCCCGAGGCCCCGCCCCTTCCGCGGCCCCGCCCCTCCCCACGGCCCTTGAACCTCCGCCCGGGAGCCGCGCACGCCCCCCATGTTGCCGAGAGCCGGTGGGGTCGCGCTGTCTTCGTTTCTCCGCACTCTTTGGGCCGCCCCTGTCGCCGCCATGAGCACTGGTACCTTCGTCGTGTCGCAGCCGCTCAATTACCGCGGCGGGGCCCGTGCGGAGCCGGTGGACGCCTCCGGCACCGAGAAGGCATTCGAGCCGGCAACCGGTAACCGCACGGAGAGGGCAGCCGGGGGGCGGTGGGGCCGGGCGCGGGCCGAGCCTCCCCCGCCGCAGCGGTGCACGGATTTTACTGCCAGCCTTCGGTTCGTGGGTTCAGCAAAGGTTTACTGAGCACAGACGGTGACAGTGGAGAGTCACTGCACAAAGTGCGTGTGCAGGCAGCTCTCGGTTCTCTGGAAACACGAGTGTCTCTGGGCAGGGACAGGAGGGAGGACAAGGAAGAGCTGGGGAGTTGCGTGGTGGGGTCGTGAGCAATTCTGCAGCAGCCAGAACAGAGTCCAGGAAGTGCCGCTGCGTGGAGTTGTGCCTCTGTTTATTAATTTTTAAAGCTGGACTATTATGTAATGTCTTCAACTGTGTGCCCAGGAGAGGATTTCCAGAATAAGGCTGGGGGGAAATAAACAAGAATGAGGACTTTGTCGCCATCTTCTAGTATTAAGATATTTCTGTACAAGAATCACAGTTGGGAAAGGAAAAAGCCCCACCTTTATCCAGTACTCAACACCCCCGCCCCCGGGTTAATGAAATGTAATTGACAAATAAAAATTGTATATATTTAAGATGTAAAACGTGATGGTTTAATGTACGTACACATTGCGAAATGATTACCACAATCAGGCTAATTAACGTAACCTCTACATAGTTACCACTTTTTTTGGTAGTTACAACATTTAGGATTTACTCTCTTAGCAAATTTCAGGTATACAATACAGTATTATATGTATAATATATAATTACATATATGTAGTACACAGTATTATATAGGCACCATGCTGTATATGAGATCGCCACAATTTTTTCATCCTGCCTAATCCACACTTTTTAATCTAGTGCTTAATGTGTGTCAGGCACTGTGCTGGGCACTGGATTTATTCTGGGAACTGCAGAGATCACCAAGCTAAGGAGGAAGAGGGTTTTTGTTTGTTTTTTGCCTTTTCTTTGGTTTTCTCTTGTGTTTATTTTGCTGCGTTTTATGGAATATTTGTGGGGAGAAAAATGTAAGTATTTTGTGTAAAATGCAGCCAGAGCAATAAAACTGGATTGCAAGTGACTGGAGAATTTAGGATTGACCATGCACAGTAAAACCACAGAGCAGTGACCTGTCAGAACTGAGGGGGGCCATAGACATCATCATAGCGCTCCTTTACATATGAAGAAACAGCTCTGCCCCCTCCCCCAATATTGATGCAAAAGGAAGAAAAATTGCTGTTTAATTACCTACAATGTACGTGATCTTCAGTCACTGCCTTTACCAACTAACTGGCTGTTCAAGTTTGTAAGAGAAATTGGAGATTTGTGAAATCTCTCTGGAAAAAGCATATAGTCCCAGGAGTTCTTGTGAAAAGGAACTGTTTAACTTGGCATGCCTAAAAGAATTCTTGTTGGTAGCATTAGTATAACTCTTGCGAGATGTGTCTGGAAAAATTGGCTGTTTCATATTTTGCCCCAAAATAGGGACATGGAATTTAAAGTTGGAGTAAGAAACGGAGAGCCTAGATTTTTTTATTTGAGAAAAAAATTTTCTTTTAGGGTTATCTTATCCAGGTATTGCTTATTAACCATATTTATCAAGTATCAGTAGTATGATATAAACTACATAGAACATAGACAAGGGATTTATCTATGTTAAAATCAGAGTTCATAACCCAGTAGACTGATTACTTTGCACTTTGATTTTGCAGGAACCCAGAGATTCTGGGACAATGTTAAGCAATGTTGCAAAATGATATATAGGGAGTTAATATCAGTAAATCCAGCTATAGTGGAGGGCAACGATTCTTAACCCTTAATCCATGGTGAGTTTAGGGGACATGATCTCTGTAATTCTGTGATTGTGGTTAAGTACATTTTTCTGGAGAGAGGCCTGCAATTTTTATCAGACTCTTAAAAGGGGTTATTGACCACAAAATAGTTAACAAGTGCAAATAGAGGTGGTCACTAAATCTAAACCATACTTAAAAACAGGAATGGGATACAGAAGAGAATGTTGACACATAATATTTTATTTAAATATGTGGCAATAATTTTAAATAACACAACTTATCCCTTCTTTACAGGCCGTGTGATAGCTACTTTCACATGTTCAGGAGAAAAGGAAGTAAATTTGGCTGTTCAAAATGCAAAGGCCGCCTTTAAAATATGGAGTCAAAAATCTGGCATGGAGCGTTGCCGAATCCTTTTGGAGGCTGCCAGGATAATAAGGGTAGGTTTTCATTTACTCCCTTCCAGAAAACTCCTCATACATTGCTCTAAGGGTTCTTTGCAATGATTTGCAGTTAGACTTTGATGCAATGTTAGGTGATAACATTTTTATGAAATAGAAAACCATTTCCACATGCTCACCTTGGTATATAAAACAAGCTTTCATTCAGTAATTCCCGTCTGGATCTTGGCTTTGGACATCTCCCTTGGCAGGTTTTCTTTTCTGTCTTTGTTTTGAGTTATAATGTACTCCTTTATTATTTTTTTTAAATCATGTTTGTGTACTTGTTTCCTTTTTACTCCTTCCTTCAATGACTCTCAAGTCTACCTTTCTCTTTCAGATTTGTTTTCACGTAAAGTTTCATATATGGTTTTGTTACTTAATTGCCTAGGAAGATTTCATAGATTCATATATGTTCCCTTTTTTTGAAAAAAAAAAAAGCTAAACTTTTTATAGTCTTAAAAATCAAAAGTCTAGATGCTCATTACAGAAATTTAGAATATTCAGAAGAATGTACATCAAAATATCAATCATGGATATCTTTTGAGTGGTAGGACTGTGGTGACTTTTTGTCATATATATGTTAAGTCAGAAACTGTTAAGGCTCTGAGAGTTACTATACTTGCAAGGGTGGAATATGTACATATATACACACATGTATTCTGAATATATATATACATATTCCATGTATGTGTGTATATGTACATATTCTGTATATACATTCTGAAAAGAGACATGAGGCCTTTTGAATCATAGAAAAAGATGGTTTATATACACAGCAAATGCAGCAGCCAGAGCAATACCTTAGCACTAAGATTCTGAGCCCCTGTCTCCACTGGGGGATGTGGTAAGAGCCAGGTGTTACCCTCGGTATGTAGTGGGCTGCACCACAGGAGAAGAATTCTAAAATTGTGAGACTCATATAGGGGCTACTGGCACACTAGCCTATCCTCTCCTCTGGAGAGAGAAAGACTGCTTGTTAGGCAGATCTCCAGTGTTGAGAGGGAAGATGTTTATTACCCCGGAATGTAAACAGATGTTTCCAGGGACAGGAATTAGAGAGTTTTACAACTCCAAATCTCTCCGGAGATCTGTATCTTCAGGGAGACTCTATTTCTGCTTTCCAAGGCTTTTCCTATTCAGTCAGCTTGCCAGTATTCTTTGCTCAGAAAACCTGGACCATGCAGAAATATCAAAACATTCATGGAGAATTTTCTCCCAACAAAGCATTTTTCTCTCTTGTTAAAGATTTATTTTTAATTTGATAGACCAAAGGTGATAAGACAAAGCTCATAATTTATTATTTTAATTTGTCCTTCATTTTTTCCTACTGCATGAGCATGTAGGGTTGTTAAGAATTGGCTGCTTTATTGTTATGAGATGACTTTTATTAATCCTGAATAATATCTAATAATATGTTTTACTCTGAAATTCAGTCTGTCTGATATTAATTTCTTTTCTTTTTCCTTTCCCCTCTTCCTCCCATTGTCTTTGATACCTATGTATTTTATTTATCAAAAAGATATTACTACCTTTCTTTAAAGCTCTGGTCTGATAACTATACTCTGGACCTGCCTTTACCCAAAATTATTTCATAACTGAAAAAAATCCCTTACCACAGCCTGCAATTATATTAGCTCTCAGTTATTTCTTGTAGGGATTTTTCTAGTTAATCAATCTGCAATTATTTGTTCCTTCCATTTTTAAATTATAAACAGTCAATTATCTTTTTAAAAGATATTTAAAATAAGGTAAAAATATTTTATATTTACCCACATATTTACCATTTCTGGTGCTCTTCATTTGTTTGTATAGACCCAGATTTCTATCTTCTGTCATATTTCTTTAGCTCAAAGGAATTTTTTCAGCATTTCTTATAGTGCATGTCTGCTGGTATTCTTTCAGATTTTTTTGTCCAAAAAAGTCTTTATTTTGCTTTCGTTTTTGAAAGAATTCTAGCTACATATGTCTAGGTTGACAGCTTTTTCTTTCAGTACCTTAAAGTTGTTGCTCTGCTGTCTTCTGGTTTACACTGTTTCAGAAGAGAAATTTGCTGTCATTCTTATTTTTGTTCTTCTGTATATAATATGTTTCCCACACACTGGCTGTTTTAAGATTTTTCCTCTTTATCACTGGTTTGAAGCAATTTGATTATAATAATGTCTTTGGGTGCAGTTTTCTTCTTATTTCTTTTGCTTAGGTTTATTGATCCTCTTGAATCTGTAAATTTATAATTTCATTAAATTCAGAAAAATTTTGGCTACATTCCTTCAAATATTTTTTCTGTCCCCTCTTCTATCTCTTCCTCTTCACCTTGAATTACAAATATATTGGGCTGCTTGAAGCTATTCCACAAGTCGCTGATGCTCAGTTCATTTTTTCCCTAGTTTGTGTGTGTATGTGGTTTTTTTTTCCCCTCAGACCTTCCTCCCACTCCGTGTGTGTGTTTTATTTCAAATCATTTCCATTGTTATGACTGAAGTTCACCAATCTTTTATAGTATCTAATCTACCATTAATCTCATCCGGTGTATTTTTCATCTCTAGAAGTTTAATTTGGGTCTTTTTTGGGTGTGCTCCCTATGTCTCCTTAAGATGCTCCTGTTTTCCTGCACCTTCTTGAACATATGGAGTATGGTTTTAGTAACTTAATGTCCTTGTCTACTAATTCTAGCATCTGTTATTTCTGTGTCTATTTCTATTGATGAGTTTTGCCTCCTGGTTAAATGTTTTTTTTTCTACTTTTTGCATGCCTGGAAATTTTTAATCACTGGATATTTGATCTCTAGTGAATCACTAGAGCATATTATGTTGTTGGGTGATGAATATTCTTGTACTTTAAAAAATATTCTTGAGTTTTGTTCTAGGGTACAGGGAAGTTACTTGGAATCGGTTTTGATCCTTGCAAGGCTTGCTTTAGATCAGCTAATTTTGCCCCATTACTGAATACTCTCTGACCGCCCAACACTGTGCTCTGTGTATTAGTAAAGTTTTTCTCACCCTGGCTGGTGGGAACATGAACGATACCCAGCCCTGTGTGAGTTCTGGGGATTTTTTTCACCTTTTCTTCGTCGGTGGTTCTTTTCCCAGCCTTGGGTAGTTTCCTCACACTGGTACTCACAGAGGACTGTCGGCAGATTTCTGGGGTTTTCTTTCTGTGCAGCTGTCTTCTCTTCCCCACTTAGCTGTGAAGACTCACTGTGTGTTCCCTGAATTCCCAGCCTGTCTCCTTAACTCAGGGTATCTGCCAGCCCCCACCTAGATTTCTCCTCCCTGCTCTGTGGCCTGGAAACTCTCACCGGATAGTAAGCTGTGGCAACCGTAGGGCTCACCTCATCGGTTTCCCTCTCTCAGGGATCACTGCCCTGACCTGCCTAATGTCTGATGTCTGAAAATTATTGTTGATGTGTTTTATCTGGTATTTTTAGTCATTTAAGGTGGCAGAGTAAATCTGGTTCCTGTTACTCCCTCTTGGCTGGAAGCCCACTGATTCCTAGTGGAAATGAACATTTTTTCCGTATGTTTATTAGTCATATGTTCTCATTTTTACTTTGAATCCACTGGTACTTTTAACAGATTATAAAGATGTTGTCTGTGGGACCCAATCATTTTTCGGTTGGAGTCTCCTTATGAAAGTAACTATCATTTGGCTGAAAAGGAGAGGGAGGATGTTATTTAAAATGATGACAACACTGTTTAAATAAAGATCGTGTATGTAGATTATCTCCTTGCCTCCAGCCTGGGCCCTGGTCCGTCTGTCTTGCACGTTGCCACCAGCATGGCCCTCCTGCAGGCACACATTTGACCATGGTACCTGCTAGGGTAAAACTGCCAGTGGCCCCCTCCATAACGTGGCCCTCGGGCTCTTGTTTCTCTGGCCCTCAGGCCAGCCTGGTTTTCTCTCTTCACACACTATAAACACCAGCTCCCCTGCGCTGCTGGCCCTTCTGCCTTGGCCAGGCGTGCACTCTCACAGCCGTACTTTTGCACGTGCTGTGACACTGAGTTTGGTGCTATGCCTTTGTTTTTCTTGCCTCTTGTACTTATATCCTTAGCATTGAATGGGCTGTGCTATAATTCATCCTTTCCTTCCTCCCTTTTTTCCTTCCGTGCAAGGTGCTGTTTATACACAGTATTTAACTATCCAAAACATCTTGAACTGTAGCTGTTATTTTACGTGTTGACAAATGAGACAGCACACTAAGAAAGGTTAAACAGCTTGTCTGAGGTTGTACAACTAGTAAGTGTAAGAGCTAGTCTGTTGGACTGCAAAGCTTGTGACTTTTTGTACTCACCCTACCCGTTGAAGGAGGGAGAGGCTCAAGGCTTGTTAGGATTTTCATGTGTGTGTCTCCAGATATGGCTATCTTATAAAAGCTAGACTTTAAGGCCTGCTGAGGGGTTTGAGGTGAAAGGGGGAGGTGAGGGACCTGCCTTTCATCCCAGTGGGCACCTGGTCTAGGCCTGTTGTGAAGCAGGATGGGATAAAGGATGAACAGGGTTAGATACAGAGCATGCATTTCCAAGAAATACTTGTAGCAGTGTGTCATTATGGTGGAAAATTTTATCTTGTGGTTGTTCTTGCAGTAGTAGCAGGAAGAAAATTTATGCTGTTCCCCTTTCCCTTCTGCCCTCTTTACTTCAGAAGGATAAAGGAATCCCATTTTCCCTAAACCAATGTTACCTATCAGTAAAGAGCCATTTGGACTCCTTGGTAATTTTTTTTTTTTTTGAGTCAGGGTCTTGCTGTGTTGCCCACGCTGGTCTCAAACTCTTGGGCTCAAACGATCCTCCCATCTCAGCCTCTCGAGTAGCAGGGATTACAAACATGCAACACTGCACCGTGCTTCCTTGGTGATTTTTGTCAGGGACATTTTTTGATGATCTTTGCATGGTATATCGGAAGATCTCATACTGATCTTCAGTAAATAACCTTTTTTATAGGATGGAGAATAATAAAAATAAGACAGGAAAAATTTCCCAAGGCCAGCTAGAAAATTGAATTTTTTCTGAGAGTTGAAACCTTGAAACAGTTCCCAAAACTACTTGTCTATCCATTATTTAAAAAAAAAAAAAATCTTGAGAGTAAAACTTTATACTCTCTTAGTAAATATTCCGAAGCTTAGCAGTGATAGTCACAGATGACTTCCTGTTCGTTCACTCTTATCCTAAAGTGGAAACAGAAATGCTTCACTATTGTCAGTGTAATATCTCTTTGTGTATCTGAAATGTTCTGTACTGATAAATGAGCTAGTATTTACTTCCTCTCTAGTTTCCCTTTTGCATTCTAGAAACAAAGTTTAAGCTATTCATAGTTGATTACACCTTTGGGAAACTGCTCCATGTTAATCATACTCTACAAATTCAAGAATGGGGAGTAATTTATACCTGGTTTAAGAATTAATGCTTGTTGTCCTCTCCGTACCCTCTTTCTAATATTAGTATACTGGGAAACAAGTTAATTGTTAAATGCTTGTTTTGGTGAGTATAGGATCAGGGAAGGAAAAGGTGAATTACTGGTTAAGAGAGTTTAATGTAGACCATGTTTGAATGTGAAAAAATTATCTTTTTTGAAGGAACATGTCTGTTCAGAAATTGCAGTGTTTATTGAGAATTTACTAATTTCCCTTTTAGAAGTAAGCTCTTGAAGGCAAAGACTGGATCAGTATTCTTTTTCCTAGTAATGAATGTGAAATGAATGAACCAAAACACTTTATAGCTCTGGTCTTTATAGAAATACAACATGTCCAGACTCTACTGTCACACTGTCCTTCCCTGTATTTCATATCGATTTCCACATTCCTACTTCCCTCTTTTCTGAGGTTTGTACTGTGGGTAGATGTTTGTGTTAGTTTCAGTTGCATTCCATTTTGCTTCTGGTCAGCCTTACTGCCTATCAGTTTTAATAAGAGAATGCTCCTTCTTGTCAATTACTTGATTCATCTTTTATGTACATTCTGGTATTTATCTTATTGTTTACTTTAAATTGGATCCATACCAGTTGATATTTCTTACATACTTAATTCTTTTATCTTCTTTAGGCCAAAGAAAAGCATTATTTGTTTTTCCTTTTTAGGTCTAATTTCCTAAACCTTTAAGCTCATCCCTGGACCATCTCTATAATCTTTTTTTTTTTTTTAATCCAGTCAATTTAGCAGTGTAGGGGGGTATATATCGACTTTAGTGACACTAATGTTAATGAGTTCTATTAACCCACTACCATCAGACCAGCCTGTAGAATCTTTTTATCCTTAGTAAGTTGTAGTGGCCAGAACTAGAAACGGTATTTGAAAACAGTATTGATGAGTGCTGAGTATTAGAAAGTATTAGAAAAGAGGGCTGGGGGTGGTGGCTCACACCTATAATCCTAGCACTTTGGGAGGCCAAGGTGGGAGGATGACTTGAGGCCAGGAGTTCAAAACCAGCCTGGGCAATAGTGAGACCCCATCTCTACAGAAAATAAAAAACTTAGCTGGGTGTGGTGGCACACGCCTGTAGTCCCAGCTACTCGGGAGGCTGAGGCAGGAGGATCACTTGAGCCCAGGAGTTTGAGGTTGCAGTGAGTTATGATGATGTCACTGCACTCCAGCTTGGGTGACAGAGTAAGGAGCTGTCTCAAAAAAAAAAAAAAGAAAGAAAAGAAAAGAATATGCTACATTTCTTTGAGTGAATTGAAGTAATGTGTGTTATAATCTCTTAAATGCAATTGTGTGTTAGGCTATTTTGTATAATTTCCCTAAGGACTGTTCTCTTTTATTATATATGCACAAACATATATATATATATTTATACACATGTACATATAACATTGATTTCTCAAAATGTTCTTGTACTAACTGATCTTGAAATGAGTTGTGATCCCAAATCTTTGTCAGTTAACTTGTGGGGAAGAAGAGGAGAGCTGTTCAGCAGTAAGCTTTTATCTTTATTCCAAATGTAACATTGCCATGTCTTTATTTTCATTTAAAGTGCAAGCTGTTTCTATTTTTAAATATCAAGCGATGTATTGTATTTAAGCATCGACTATGTCAAGACATGCCATAATATGTCTTAAATCTAGTCTCCTGTTTTACCCCAAGGAACGGAAGGATGAAATTGCCACTGTGGAGACCATCAACAATGGCAAGTCCATCTTTGAGGCTCGCTTGGACATTGACACTTCCTGGCAGTGCCTAGAGTACTATGCAGGCTTGGCTGGATCCATGGCTGGTAAGTCCTCGCCTGGCCTCTGTGACCAGCTGACAGGAGCAGAGCCTCGTGGTGAAGGGCAAAGATTTGGGAATAAAGATAGACCTAAAAAGGAAAGACAAATAATGCTTTTCTTTGGCCTAAAGAAGATACAAGAATTAAGTATGTAAGAAATATCAATTAGTATTATGGATCCAATTTAAACTCCTGGATTCATTACTTTCTACCTGGGTAGCCTGAGAATTACTTCATCTTTCCTTATCCAAACTGGAGATAATACTCCCTACCTTCTTGGGCTGTTTTAAGAATTAAATGAGACAATGCATGTAAAGCACCTAGCATGGTACTTGAGCTTTAGACCAAGTTGCTGCAAAACCAGTTCTCACAAGGATCAATATGTCATGTTTACCAGTTTTACCTAGTTAGCAAAAAATTTTTTGACAATTTGTAAAGTTTACAACAATTGATATCAATGGTTGGCAGGGCCCAGGGAGGGTGTGGGGAGCCAGAAGTCTGAGGTTTTAGGGTCCTCAGAATCTTCCCCTGCTGCTGAGTCTTGCCCTCCTTTCCATTTCATTTCATCTAAGTTACCTAGCAGAGGTTCAGTAAATTTTTGGAGAATTAAATCAAGTTGGATGAACATGCGCTTGAAGGATAGGTAGGATTCTCTATGTGGAGAGAATATGCAGAAGCCAGTGTAAGAACGAGTGGAATAAATAGAAGGAGGAAGAGGGGTGAGCCCGCTGTGCTGGAAGCAGCGAGGAGGCTGGGACTGGTGTAGGCGTTGGGGAAATCCTGGGAGCGCAGACCGGCATTCTGCTTTACGCCCCTGCTTTCCCACAGGCGAACATATTCAGCTCTCAGGTGGATCCTTTGGCTATACCAGAAGAGAACCACTTGGGGTGTGCGTGGGAATAGGAGCATGGAACTACCCCTTTCAGATCGCCTGTTGGAAGTCAGCACCAGCGTTAGCTTGCGGTAAGAATGAATTATTCCTCCACTTGTGAGCCCTCTGTTCTCTCCCCGTTCCCTACCCCTCTCCTCTCCACAAGTGCACACTTGCAATCAGAAGGGGCCTGCTTCGGAGCACTCAGAGCCTCAGCCGGCATGTTGCGTTCCTGCCCCGTCTTTTCCCTCAAAGAGCTTACAGCTTGGGTCGTACACACACATCCTGCCTAGATATTTCCGTTTTTTATTTATCTAATTGATTTTTGCATATGGAAAGAAAGTAAATTTTTCCTGTTAAATTGAATGAGATTTGTGATACTCGTAAGTTCTCTTCCTTTTTGGACAAGAATTTTTACACAGGAGGTAGCACTTAGGGGTTTGACTTCATTTAGGAAGCAGAAGATGAACTCCTTTCTTCATTCGGTGCCTTAAGAGAAATGATAAACCAGGCCTCCAATAGAGGAGCTTTGGATGATTGACTTAAAAACGGGTTTCATATACTATTTGAAGAGAAGAATCTGTGGGAAAAGAAGACTTATTATACCTTAGAAAAAACTATGTTAAAAACCATTACCGTTAGGACATCATATTGAAATGCAGCTTCTGTCCTGTTACCATTGCACATTCTTGTTTTAGCACATTGCTGTTTGAGAGACAGCTGTGACAGAGGACTAATCGTCTTGGGATGAAGTCATTAGCTTTGGGGACTCTCATCTAATGAATCTTTCTGGCCCTCAATTTAAACTTTTATAAAATGGGGCTGATCAAACCTACTTCATACTGCTGTTACAAGTGTTAAATGAGATAATATACATGCAAAGGCCTAGATATGCGCGTGTAAGGTATTATCGTTTGAGACTGGGCAAGTATATGGTTTGGGGTCTGTTTAATGAGAGAAACCAGGGTGGAAAGGACAAGATGTGTTTACTTACTAATAACATTTTGATCTGGCATTTGATGGGAGAACAGGAAGTAATTGAAATCATTCTTGCATTGTCCTCTAGTCCCGTCCTCAAAGGATCACCGGTCTTAAAAAGTCTTTCTGTGTTTGTGTCTCGGGTTTATACAGGTAACGCCATGGTCTTTAAACCTTCTCCCTTTACACCTGTTTCTGCATTGCTACTGGCTGAAATCTACACTGAGGCTGGTGTGCCCCCTGGGCTCTTCAACGTGGTGCAAGGAGGGGCTGCCACAGGCCAATTTCTGTGTCACCATCACGATGTGGCCAAAGTCTCCTTCACAGGAAGTGTGCCCACTGGCATGAAGGTGAAGATGAAACCAGTGTTGGTTAACACAAATGGCATCTAGATATGGCAAAGCCAGTCCTACCCTGAGTATATTTTGGAGTCTGCTCTTCTGGTTTAACCTAGCTTGTATTGGGAACAGGGTAGGAGATTTTACTGGGCAAAGGTCTGAAGTTTCCTATAAAAGTGTGAAGGCGGAGGGAAGCACACACGGTGTGATTTGTGTTAGTCCAGGGGGGTGGAAGTTATCGTCTCCTGCCTGGGGAGATGATGCGTATGAGTGGGCGGGGGCCTGGGCTGCCACTTGTATTACTTGGTGACTTAGTTTCTTGTATGAAAGAAGGGTATTTTCTCGGGTTATTTCAGATTCATTATTTTAACCTTAATTTGTGCTCTGAGCTCTGTCAGCCTTAAACACAGTAACAGTAACACAGAGGAATTTCTGGCTATGATAGTCTTGTGAATTGATGGTATTTTTAAAATGAATTCCCTCTTCAGAATGTCAGGCGCAGTTCTGTGGGTCCTTTTCGGTTTTCTGGAGGAGAATATTTTGGTAGACGGAGGGCCAGGTATATTGACAAGGGTAAGGCTGCAGATCGTACACAGTTCAAGATGACTTTGTAGGGTCAGGGTTTCGTGGACCTCGCTTGCAGTCTAATTTGTGTTCAACTTCCAAATGCTTTGTTCCTGTTCTGTAAGATCATGGAGATGTCAGCGCAAGGAATCAAACCTGTAACATTGGAACTCGGAGGCAAATCTCCACTCATCATCTTCTCAGACTGTGACATGGACAATGCCGTGAAGGGGGCCCTGATGGCCAACTTCCTCACGCAAGGCGAGGTATGCACCTGTCCCTGGGAAGGCTGTCAGAGCAATCTCCCCCCTTCATCCAGCAGCATGTGTTAGAGCTCTCTATTCTGAAATACTTTCAGACTTACAGTTGCACAAATAGTACGAAGAATTCCGATGTGCCCTTGAGCCAGATTTCTCAAATATTAACACTTTAACACATTTACTTTCTTATTCTCTTTATCTGTCTGTACATACATATGCATATGATTACGTTTTTCTGAACTTTTAAGAGTAAGTTGTAAACACAAGGCCCCTAACCTTTAAGTACTTCAATGTTCCTATAAACAAGTGTATTCTTTTAACATAAGCACAGTACACTTACTAAAATAAAAAAGTTAACATTGATGTAGTACTGTTAATCTATAGCGCTTATTCAAATTTTGCCATTTGTTTGACTAATGTCTTCTTAGCAAAAGAAGATAAGCATTTTTCTTCCTGGTCCACGATCCAATCAATGATAATGCATCGCATTTAGTTGTCTTGTCTTTAATCTTCTTTAAAAAGGAATAGTTCTTTAGTTATTCGTATCTTTCAGGATCTTGACATTTTTGAAGAGTACAGGCCATTTATTTTGTAGAATATTCCTTATTTTGGGTCTGTCTGATGTTTCTTCTCAGATGCATATTGTGCATTTTTGGCAAAAAAAAAAAAATACCATAAACATGATGTTGTATACTTCTCGGTGGTGATTTAACTTTGATCACTTGCTTAAGGTGAGTCTTCACTATAAAGTCACTGTTGTTTTCCTTTGTGGTTAGTAAGTATCTTGTAGTAGGTATTTTGAGACTATCCAGTTCCTCATCAAAGTTTCACCCAAAATAATTTTATCACCCGCTGATGATTCTTTTTTTTTTTTGAGACAGAGTTCGCTCTGTTGCCCAGGCTAGAGTGCCGTGGCATTGTCACAGTTCAGAGCAACCTCAAACTTCTGGGCTTAAGGGATCCTCTCGCTTCAGCCTCCCGAATAGCAGGGACTATAGGCGCGAGCTAATTTTTGTATTTTTTTTAGTTGCCCAGCTAATTTTTTCTATTTTTAGTAAAGACGGGGTCTCGCTCTTGCTCAGGCTGGTCTC